GATCTGAGACTATCATCAGGGATTGGAAAAATCCTAATACCAATAGTGTTTTCTATTAATTGTGGAAGGAGCAATTTCATTAAATTTTGTGAAAATTAGTTTAAAATGGGGAAGATCTTCCACAAAATGTTCACTCCCTTTGTCATAGCTCTTCCACATTGATATGTCATGATCATTTCCTTGCTATGCAGTGTGTTATAACATAGTTGTAATATCAAGTTTGTAACTCCCAGTTATGTGGTTCTTGATTTGGGCTGTGGGATCACATTGTTTCTAGTAAATGCTGTGAGATGCCATAATACTGCAGTTCTGGCATGTGGTATCTTGTGTACTTTCTCATGCTGTTCTATCCCTGGCTGGTTCCTATCTTGTAACAGGTTACAATGCTCTGCCAAGGGAAGTTGGTCATTGGAAATGGGCACAGGAATTCATGCGTGTACCCACCAAAGGGCATGTGTGTGTGTGTGCATATGTGCATTTATTTGCATATTTGTAGCTGTGTACATGTAGCTGTGTACATGTGCAAGCACACAGGCATATATGGCGAGCATAAATATATGCATATACACCTTGACCTTGCATTCCCTCTTACTGAGATATCGGTTTGCCTCTAACCTTCAGGATGCCTGACCTGCTTGGTTGTCATGGCAACTGATCATCCAGATTAAACAGCAGTGGGCTTGGAATCTCCCCTGATTCCAAGGGCATGGTGACACCCTGGGAGCCGGCTGAACAATAAAGCCTCTCTCTCCCCCACTCCCCTCCTCCTTACTACCTCTCTGAGTCAAGAGGAAAAGCCAGTGGCAGCGGCAGGGCCCAGATTATTGCACTTGTGGCCATTTCCTGTTTCTGACAATAACAGGGGGCATCATTAGTTTCCAGGCAACGAGCTTTGTGTCTGAGATTTTCCAAGGGCCTCTTGCATTGGGGTCTTTGAGGGCCCTACTTTCCCCACTTTTATCTATAAGAACTATGGCTTTACCTCATCCCAATCATCTTCTCTAAGTCTCTTCTCTGCTTCTCAGTGACTGTTAGCCTCACAATCCCCTTATGTTGCAGGTTTTTAACCCTCTCTTGTTCACACCACCTGCTCTGACCTTTGGGCTAAAGCAGTTGCTGCATTCCTTCCCTCCAGCCCTTCTGCCAGCACCAGCTTCTCCTCACAGAAGTAAAACAAGGTGGTTTTAGGACAATGTGGCAGGGATTGGAGAATCAGGCTGGTGGCCATTTTGAAGTGGGGTTGACATTAAAAAACCTGTCAAAATAAAAGATTCCTGCCCCACATGGTAGGATTTGTCCTGACCACTCCTCTTACTTATGTTGAAGTGACTCAAGAGTAACTTAACTACAATACGTTTTTTAAAATTTTCCAAATTCCAAGCCAAATTATCCAAAACAAATTCCAAATCCAAGAGTCAGTCCAGAACTGTAAGTGGCCCTACTACTGGCAAACATCTTCCACCCACATCTAGGGATTCAGATGTTTCCAAAACCTTTGATGGGCACCCTATTTACAGGCCCAAGTCCAGAGGCTTGGGGTTCAGATGCTCCCAAGTTTTGCTTGCCCTCAGCCATAAGGCCTCAGGAGCAAGCCAGGGAGGAGCTTCCCCTTTCCATAAAGTGGGGATAAAGCTGAGACCTTCCCACTCCAGCAGCTAAGTGGGAGGATTACTATGCATTACTGTCGCAGAGCATTTAGGTACCCTGCTCCTTGTAAAGAGCAGTGAGTGAAGAGGCACAGGTGCTGGTTGCCAGGGTAACCGGTGGAAGTCAGCTGACCGGAAGGGGCAGGGCCTGGCATATATAAACCCCAAGGCTGTGACCAGGATGACAGTTCTCTGCTAGTGGTTATAGGGGAAGGAGCTTTGCTGGACTGAGTGAGGAAAAGTAAGGGGCCTGAATGGCTGAATAATGTGATACTGGTGAGAGATGGAGAAGCCCTGGAGTGGCTTGAATGTTGTATAGCCAGATGGCTTAGGTTTATGTTACAGACAAGGGGCTTGTGTTTTGTGTACTGTTAAACTGGTGGCTTGGGTGAGGCTATTATGGATTGGAGGGGGCCTCATAGGGGACCCATGGTACCATGGGGATCCTGGTGCCAGAGTGGGCACAGCATTTTGGGGCCAGGCATGGCTATGGGGACCTGAGCATGAGAAGCCCCAGAGAAAGAGGGCAGCATGAGAGGCCAGGTAAGGCTGAGGTTGCCTGAGCCTTGCTGGGGATTTGAGGCCCTGAGGAGGAGAGTTGTGGGTCAGGCATAGCTACAGCTACCTGAGCCCCAAGGCTGTGGAAGGGCTGAGCCCCGGCCAGAAGGGGCAGCATGAGACAAGGGCTGTGGCTAAGACCAAACAACATCTAGTACATCAGCAAGGCTTGGGGTGTTATGAATCTCTGTGAGCTTGATTGTCTCTGTTTTTGTGGGTTTCTTTGCCAAAGAACTGTGTTTTTGGGTTTTTTCTTTTTTGAGCATAAATAATGTGAATTTATTGTTTTGTGGCTATACTTTCACGATCCAGGTCCTGAAACTTCTCAGGAAGAATGGAGATCCTTGCAACTTGACCCAGTCAATTGTGTCCAGAAACAATAAAAATGTTTTTTTAACAATAAAGCCACCAGAAAAAGGCAAACAGTAGCCCTTGCACCTGCCCCTGCTAATTAACTCCCTGGGATTTTCTTGGGGGCCATTTCTTACATAGCTGGTGCCTGAAACAGGAAGAAATAGAATGGGGAATCTGATAGTATGCTCCTATGCTGAGAAATGCACCTGATAAACATTCCAAGTATGCACAGCATGAAACTGCATCCAGAAGAAAAGGGAGGGAAGATGGTGATGGATCTATTATTCATGAAGGAGATAGTACTACAACATGCTGCTTGACTGAACCCAAACACCTTGGTATATGGTTACAACCGTGACGCTGGTTAGTAGAGGTGTACACAGGCTGGCCAGTTTGTCTATTTAAGTTGGCTGCATAATGCAGAGTAATCAAGAGACTAGCGAACCTTCCACTACATGAGCTTTCTCACATGGGCCTAGCAAGGGGATTGTAGAATAGGGAGAGGGAGAAACAGGTGTTGAATACGATCTGTTTACCTTGGCAAAGCATGGATTTCCCGGCTGAGGACAACTGCTCTTGTAAAGGGGAGCAGAGTGTAGGAGTGAGAGTCAGCCAGGGGAAGCACTGCTCTATATAAAACCATGCGGAAGCCACATGGATGGGCTGCTCTGAGGGAGGAGTTCCATGTATCTCTATCCAGACTCCTCAGTGGCTCATTAAATCTTCCCGGCTTGGAAGGTAGGATTCTGACTTTTCATTCCCTAACATCCCCTTTAGTGTATGGAGAGCATCCATGACCCACCCAGCGCTTGACAAGCCATATGGTCTCAAGTTGAAGCATGTGTTGTTGCTCTCTCTCACTTCATTGTCATGGATGACTTGTCTGCTTCCCCCAGATTTGAAGCACTGAAGTGAGGAAGAATCCTTGTGGGTTTTTTTTCATTACCCTACAAGATATTGGCTTCTACTTAGCTGGCTGACTTTGGTATTTGTGGTGCACCTGGATGAGTGAGCAGGTGGCTGCATAATGCTGAGCAATATAATACAGAGAATGCATCCTAGCAGCTATCCTGGGGAATCTGACATTTTTTTGCCACTTAGGTGAGCAACTGAGGTCTGAGTACGTGCAGTAACTTTGCTGTATGCTTCTTGGGAGTATTCCCATAATGCATTGAAATATTCTTTATAAGGGAGGTGAGATTGCTGGGAGGTAAAGGAAAATGATGAGGGCAAAAAGAAGGTAGAAGAGAGGGAGAGACTGGGTCGGAGAAGGGGAGCTGCAAAATCTGTAGATTTTTACATCTCTCAGGATGTTACCTGATGTGGTTACCAGAGATGACCGTAGCAGGATTGTAGGCCTGGGGCAAATCGGCTTGTGTGGGGCCTGGATACGGCAGTAGCAGCAGCAGAGGTTGGTGAGCGGCTGGATGTGAAGCTGGCCTGACTCCACAGGGCCCCCCAAAGTGTGGGGTCTGGGGCAGTTGCCCTGATTTGCCCCCCACGGATGACCCTGATGGTTACTCTATTAGTACGGCTCATACTGTGCATAATTTGCTAGATTCAGCCTTTGTTCGTGTTTGCAGATGGTTGCCATTATTTGTATTACAGTGTCTTCTAGAGGTCTCAGTCAGGAGTTTGGGTGGGGTGCTGGGGTTTCTATCTATATCATTAGAGCTGGCCAGGATACTTCTGGCAGAAATGAGTCATTTCATCAAAACTAATGGGCTTCTGCTAAACATTGAGATCAGTGTTAATTGGAGGGGACTTTTGAGAGAGTGGGTGGGAGAAGGGGAAAGATGCTTGAATCAAAGAGCCCAGGCTTTTTATCCAGTAACAGATGTTTTGGTACAATTCTGTTTTACAGAAACATCAGAAAGGCTTTGGGGTTTGTTCCAAAGCAGAATGAAAAACAAACCTTGACTACTTTGGGGATTTCAAACAGACTTTTTGTGTTTCAGATAGGGCACGGAGAGAGACAGAGAGAAATTGAAAAGAACATCTCCATCCTTAAAAGTTAATAAAATAAGGAGCACTAGGTGACGATGCAGTGATCACTTATTGTGCCCAACCTTTCAGGGTGTCTCGGTTTCAAGTTCATCTATTCAGGGACATGTGATAGTGGAAGCAAATATACATAAAGGTTCCAGAAACCAAACATTTTTTACTTTTTAGTTAGCACAAGTTCTAGACAAAATAATAAACCCCAATACCCATTTTTTCCTGCTTGTATTTTGTCACTGTTATTAAGCATTCTATAGGCTTTGATCAGAGTCCACTGGGGGAGGGTGGGCCTTGAATCCCCTCCTTGATTTGGCTCTTCCCCTCCTCCTTGCTCTACCTATGCAGCCAATTTCCTGCTTCATCCTATGTGCTCTCTCTCCAATGGCTGAAAGACCCTTTTTCAAGAGACTCTGATCAGTGTGACCTGATGATTAAAATCCCTCCCCCCAGGTGTCTTATTGCTGAAGCCTTGCGCGATTCGGACATGTAAAACAGTCAAGTCTTGGACAGTAGGTATCTTAGCCCTGAGGGGCTTTCTGTAACTTGCCTATTTATCAAAGTGTAACTACCTTTTTTCTTTTCGACTCTGCCAAGTACAAGACTTCTGTCTCCTTTCCTATTACCTACCTCCTCTGACTTTTGTCTCACTGTGGAAGCACAATACAGCAGAAGACAAAATGAAGCCCCTCATTCAAAATGGAACTGGTAGTCTGACATACAAGGCTGAGTGTTGCTGGTGATTTATACATTTTTCTAGGTTTAATCCAGACTAGCCATCACTATATACATGGGGACATCTGTAGTCCAAATTAAAATTGGCTCCAGTCTAAGTTACTATTCCTCATTGAATGAGGATTAAAGTTGATACAGATTAGGGCAGTCTAAACTAGGCAATATAAACTGTATAAATTAACTTGTATATATGGCATTGCTTTTGGGAAAAACAGTCCTTATGAACTCAGCAGGTAAGCATTGCAAATATCAGTCTGGTCAAGGAAAACTCAGTTGCATTTTTGCAACACAACAGAGGCTTTTGGGCCCGAAGTAACACCTTTACAAAGTCAAATGGGCCAACAACACCTCAGGGTGACTTAAGTATCAGTATCCTGACTGATCCCTCAGCCCTGCCCAAGCACAGGGGGCTACTGGTCTGTGAAGAAGCAGGAAAATCCCCTGGGGCCCCTCCCCCCAACACATTGGCTGAGATGGTCATCAACGCTCAGATCAATTGCACCCATTGGGGCTTCTGGAACAACACTTTAGATAACTGTCAGTATAGAGGGGTCTGCTCAGTGCTACTACATGGCAAAGTTTAAGGCCAGGGGTTAAGCCCCAGCACTGGAGCCTGGCTGAGACCAGGCTTGAAATAAACTTGCCTGCAGGGATGTGGCAGACTGATGGGGAGCACCACACTCCACTGCCACAGCACTTTATTAGCTCCTACATCATCCAGCTGGGCAGGCACCTGGTGGATGACATCAAACGAGAGTGATGAGCCAGGAAATGTAAAGAGGGATCAAACCTGGCGTGAGAGGGGGAGTGAGAGACATGGAGTGCTTGTTAGAGCCTAGTAGGCTTGTACTTACCTTCTGGGAAGAGCACTGGGAGGTACAGCCAGGATGAAGAAGGGATAGGGACACCTTAGTGGAGCTGGGAAGAAAGAGGCTACAGACACCTTAGTGGATGGGTCATTTTTGACCTGCAGGGATGTGGGCAGTGGGGTTCTGCAGGGCTCAGTCCTTGGGCCTGCACTGTTCAACATCTTCTTCAGTGACTTGGATGAGGGGGTAAAAAGCACCCTGTTCAAATTTGCTGATGATGCTAAGATGTGGGGGGATGTGGGCACACTAGAAGGGAGGAATAGGCT